GAGAGAGAGAGAGAGAGAGAGAGAGAGAGAGAGAGAGAGAGAGAGAGTCAAATTTAACGGACACATTAACTCATGTATTGGAAACTTTTATCAAATCTTTTGCGCGAAAAAATCGTTCCTTCCTATGAAGATTTACTTTTTATTTTTGTCATTGGTTTTGGAGAACAGTTTGTTAATTATATTTCAAATTTTTTAAAGAACATTTATGACAAACTTTAGAAAATCTTACGTTTTTCTTTAACGGTTTATAGCGGGCTTCAAATTTACATATTGCGTGCACAAAAATTGTATATAAAAACTTTGCTTGTTTATTGCATTAGAGATACGCGCGAATCGCGTCGGTTTACGAAATAATTAGAGCGTAGCCAAGATTCAGCTTAAAACAACATACACTTAAAAGTATGGTTTGGCATCAAATGTGATGATGTGACTTTCATGTAATCATAATAACACATATAATTATAGCATTAGGTGTAGCAATCCCACAGATTAAACAAGTTCTTGTTTTTTAATTCATTATTTGTCAGACAGTTGGTTGATAAGCCTGAAAGTTAAGCTTTCAAAATTAAGTAAATAAAGATATGTCGTGTTAAAAGAAATTTAATACAGATAATAGGGAGAAGAGCGGTATATCGAGAGCATTATTATTCTCATGTCTTCGAAATTGTCTTGCCTCTAATGAATTAGGTTAACGTAGAGATAGGATAGTGTATAAGGTGCGTACGTATGCCTGCATAAATATTGAATTTCAAATATTTTAAAGCTTTCTATAAAGAGATTGTTGTGCATAATGATGTTTGCGTTATCAGTGAAAACCTCCAACTTCCTCTTTGGATGATTTAACTTACAACAAAACAAAAGCATCCATATTTGTGATGAGATGAATCAACCACAGAAAATATGATTAGATGCCATAAAAGTGTGTCCATGAATGTTATTATTTACATGCTGGCTATGTGCATGCTCAAGAGTTTTTTCCTTTTTGCTTATACATCTATAGTGCGCTTACCTTTCGAAAGTTGTTTGTTGTATAAATAAGAAGAATAAATTTATATATTATATATATATTCGTTCATATACATAAATACATATATATCGCTAAAACGATGTTTAAGAAAAGTGCCAGCATCCGTGTAAAACCTCAAAACAAACATGAAGCAACTTTACACATACGTGTATATATACGTTTAATAAAAAATTTACAATAAAGTCATTTTTAGAATAAATAGTTGTTCAGAATGAAAATACGTAGTGGTAATACCAAAAATGGTATTGCTAAGTCGTTTCAGTATGCAGAAAAGTAACTGCAGTAAAATGCCGCAAGCTTAACCGCTGTGGAAAGCAAGTAAGAAATACTAATACAATCGTACAAATAGATGTGTTTGTTAAAGGAAATGTTAAGAATGACTTGCACAGTTCGCTTCTTAGATGTTCTGCCCAGACGAGGTGAAAAAATGACTAACACAACGGACAAATAGTCAGCCAGTTAGTCAGTCAGTTAGTCAGCAAAGTCGCCATCACCACCATCATCACTGCCACCACCACCACCACCACCACCATCACGACAGTGATAATGTGTTTGTGGTCAAAGCTTATACTTAAATTAGAATTATCTGTCTCATTCCCGTGATGCACCGAATTACCAACAGACAGACAACACCAACGAGCATTGGTAACGTAGTCACGGTGATGATGGTGGTGATGTATAACAAGTTTTTTTTTTTTTTTTTTTTTTTTTTTTGCCACCAAAAAAAGGAATATAATTTATTTATTATATAAAGAAATAAATGCATTTTGCGGTACCTACATATTCTATACAGTTAAGGTTTTCATTTCTAGCCTAAATAAATACATATTTCTATAAGTAGTTCTTACCGCCTTTTTTAATGCACGGATGAGGTGCGAATGCCATAAAAATAGTAGAAATAGAATGAATTGTGGGCAGAATGTTGTCGCATGCAGTGAGTTTACTAACATATGTAAACTCTCACAAAAGGAAATACCACCGACGTACACATACACATTCTATTTGCAATGGTAGTTCGTACAACAATAGTTGTACAATGGAACACACATTTCATTACGACCGATGTGATGGCAAAAATATCAATGAAGAGTAACAAGAGAAATATAACTAAAGCAAATGTAATGCTGGTTACAAATATTTTCGCCAAATGAATAATGACCATTTCTTTCCAGCATGTCATGATAAAAGAAAATAATTTAAAAAAAAAAAAAAAAAGATTATGTCGTTCAAACGCGATCTTGGAATTCCATCACTCTATAAAAAAAAGACAATAAGGACTTTGCAGGCGGTAAGATATTTAGAGAAGAAAATTAATCTTCTGTGGCAAAATGGATATTCCCTCCAAATTTTTAGTAAACAGTCCTTTTATATATATAAACGCAAAACCAAACCCCTAAGCATATTATAAACATAGTCACGTTGCTATGTAAGGCGAAAAGCAAACTATTGTACGGTGCGGCGGGCATATTATAACCTACACCAATAGGACTTTTATTTAATATCGCTTTGTTTATCTAGTTGCTGTTGCTGCTGTTTTTTTTTTTTTTTTTATTTGTTTATTTTATTTTTTGTTTTCATATAAAAACATTTGTAACTTTAACTTAATGATACTTATCGCTCAGTAAATATCAGCTGTCTGCTTAGATGAGCGTGTATGCACGCGTATGCACGTATAGTTAACCTTTTTAAATTGTGCAACCATAACGTTTTATGATCTTTACACATACACGAAGCTTTCAAGTGATAATTACAATAGATAAGATTAAAAAAATAAAAGGGAAGAGTTTAGAACATTCATCTGCACATTGTGTCATTTTATTACGATATTGTGCGCATACGAAGCCAATTGTTTATAGGCAAAATTTTCAAATTAACTTTTCAATATTCTATTAATTCAATTTAGGTAATAGAGATATAGGGCTTATGATATGGCAAAATATGCCAAAAACACTATAGTGGGACACGACAAACCATTAAACACCTCGTGCCATCTAGTTTAATACAGTTGTTCATGTAACGACTTTTCAAAATAAGGAAAACGATCGAAAAGATTTCAAACTTGGTTGGGTGAAAATATGTCATCAAAACACACACACACACACACATTTCATCAAAATACCCTAAAAATTGTGAACTATTAGTTAAAAAAACGGATAGACAAGCTTAGTTTGATTCAGAAAGTGATTCTGTGATACCGAGACAGCTCGATATCGTCTTATTAAAAAGTGAGTCTATCTCAAGCACTTCTGAGTGTTGCATACTTGCGCATGAACATGATGTACACCTGTACCATAAAGGATGCGGAATATAAAAGTGTAATTGTGTATTAATGGGGCGATAGGTAAAACATTTGCTAGGAAGTAAGGTAAAATCAGAAAGCATTGAAGACACGGTATTTTGTTAACAAATTGTGCAATTATTAAAAGTTAACGTTTACCTCATCTTTATTCAATCTTATGAAATCACGTTTATATCATCGCTCTATCAGTGCGATTATCGCGTGCCTTTGGAAGTTTGCTCGTTGGTTATGTCATCTTATTAGGCTTACAGTACTAACACATCTTATTAGAGAATAATAATAAAGGAGTAAAAAGAAAAAAGCGCCGTCTAAGGCAAAATTTTTCATATTATTTAGCACCTAGCTACCTACTTACAACCTAGCTGTTAGTACTAGCTTTATTAATTTCTTCTTTTTTTCCTCTTACCTATGCAATTGTGTTTGGAGTAATGAGCTCGGAATGTTTTAATTATGGAAAACGTTGTCATAATGGCTTTGCTTGCAATTTCTTAATATATTTTTGTTCAAGAATTTTTTTTTCCCTTTTACTCTACACTGGAAAAATGAAGCGAATGTATTAAAAACTTTTTGTTGGTTTTATTTGAAGAGAAATGCCATAATTGGACGACTGCCAAATTTTGCTAACAAACAAACCAGGATAAGAATGCTGCAACCTGCAAGGATGTATAACTGAATTATTTAATGTTTCGAAATTCTTTTAACTTAAAGCTGCTTTTAATATTAAATGATGTTAAGACATGTAAAAGCATGCGTTATGAAAAAGATTTGCAAACCGACAGTTGCATATGTCTGTTCATTATCATCTCTGAAACCAACTCTTACTAATGTTAAACGCATCCAATCCTCTGGTTTATAGCATGTATCAATCTAAAACTAGATTTGAGTTAAGATTTCTACAAAAGTCATGATGGATAAGGTTGGAATTGCGTCACAATTTTATAAATTCTTCAAGGTAATGGATACAGAAAATGCTTGCTCCAACGTATATAACTTTCTGACTTGTTGTTATTGATATCGAAAACCAAAAATTTTTTTTTGCATATAAAAAAGGTAATGTACATACAATACTACATGAACTACGTAAAACTGTTTGTTTTATACATACGGCTTGTGTATAATTCTCAAATGCTTTTTATATTATGTATATTTTTAACTATCATAATGACGCAGGTTTGCATTATATATGATTGCAAACAATTCGTGTCTAACTGGCTCGTTGGTCTAGGGGTATGATTTCCGCTTAGGGTGCGGGAGGTCCCGGGTTCAAATCCCGGACGAGCCCAAGTTGTCCGCGGTGTTTTTTGCATTTTTTTTTTTAAATATTAATCTTTTTTGTTATTCTTTCGTACTTACATTTGTTGATAATTGGCTGCTAAGGCTTAGAACTTGTTCTCTAGCCTCCATAAGTTCGCGTTTCAAACGTCGAATTTCATGTGCCTGCCTTTCTTCGGAAGTGCCATATAATGAGCTGCCACCAGATAATAAAGAAGCGGCACTGCCATGCACTAAAATTGCAAAGATTATTCGAGATAATATATATATATGTATATATATATGTGATTTAAGCAGAGATCATACACGTACCATCGTCATTTTTCTTAGGATAAGTAAGCTTATGTGTACCACCAGTTTGTGTAACACCAGACACCATTGTCTGTAAACCACCCATGGTATTAGCATGAGTAGGCGACATCGTACCAACAAAACCCCGATTAATAGGTGTGGGTGAGGTGGGTTGACTCCAAGCAACTGCACCACCAGTTGCATTATGATTCGTATTTTGCAAGTTCGCTGCTGCAGCGACTGCTGCTGCTGCCAATTGTGCTGAGATTACGCCGTTATGAGTACTGCCTACTGGTAGACAATAGTAGGGTTCAATTTCTACTTCAGGCCCACGCGACAACATGGAAGGATACATTTTTTCCGATTTTGTTGATCTATATAGAAAATTGAATAAAGTTGTGAATATGAGAACGAATTAAATTCAATTAAAACTTTTGTTTTTGTAAAGTGTAAATTATTAAAAGCTTAAGAGAGAGCTTAAGAGAGAGCAAGCAAAAATAATTTCCATAAGCAAAATAACGAAAACAACTTTAACAACAACTTTTTTATATATCTTTGCTTTAAAAATGTAATGAAAAATGAATGAATGACATTTTTCGTCCTTTAGGCTTTTAAATATTGCCAAAAAAACATCGCACGTCGCCTATTTTCGGAGAGGAATTTGACATAGGACATATGTGCACTGTGTACTGAATGTTGAATAACGCTATTTACGTATCATCAAATGCTTTGTCTTTCATGATAACGTATATGAACTTATGTGCTTAAACTCAATTAATTATTATTAAGGAATGAAAAGTAAGCTCAACGAAAATTTTGAAGCCAATTATAAAATTGAAATGCATAAATTCAAAGGCATATATTTTTGGGTAAAATAATTGCATATAAACTAAAACAAGCTCTTATCGATTGAAATGTTCGTTTTGCTTTTTTTTAAATAATGTCTGATCTTTAAATTTAACTATGTGCATACCGTAAAGCTTGGAGTAAGTAAAAGGCAACTTGCTATATATAACGTCTATCATCATACCACAGTTTGTGCTGCCGAAAATTTCCTGTTTCAATATTTTAGTGATAAACAGGAAATTTGCAATCGTCTGGATTCTGCTAGAGAGGTGTTAATTGGCGCCTACAGCTATGCTACCTACGTAGCGTCCAATGTATATCCATTCGACAAACACTCATAAACAAAATTTTTAAACGAAATTGCTTATATATTAAAAGTTTTACAAAACAAGGAGAGAGATGGTTTGTTTTGTTGTTGTGGTTAAAAGTGAACGGAAATTACAAGTTGATAATAGAATTTGATCAGAAAAAACGAAGCATTGAAAAAATATCTGAGTAGTTGCTTAACTTTATATTTTGTCTGAGTTTAGAACAATTTGCCTTTTTTTATGCATACATTTTTTACTACTGGAAATTTTACAAAATTTTTCTTTTGAACACTACAGGTATTTCAATAACTGTTGATAAATCTAATTCAGCGGCAATGAAGACAAACAAAAATAAAAGTTTGATTTTCCTTTGCTACAATCTCTTTCAGAGGTGTTCTCCAACATTTTGAGGTTTTCTTTTTGTGAAGAAAAAGAGTTTATTAAGACTGCCAAGTTTCCGCTAGAACTTTCTCATTCTATCCAAATCTTTTTCCCTGGACTATCTATATGATATTTGCGAACACATAATAGCCAGCCCGTTTCGGAGAACGCGGTGTTTAAGGCAACAAATAGAGCACTAATTCAGGCAGCTTTTCCATTGCCATTGCTATATCACGTTCAGAATAAGGTCCCTTATCGATATCAGGGGTCAATCATTTCTTGTTACTTCATTTTTGCATTATCGAAATTAATTTTTTGAATATTTTAACTGTTTTTGAATGCAAATACCGATACGGGCTTGGTTCGTTTATAATTGGTAAACCACTAAAAAATTATTGCTTCCGATGATGGAGAGTTGCCACGACGCTTTTCAAGCTTACACTTTCCGTTTGAACTGTATGTTCTCTTATCAAAAGTCACTGTTCAATTTAGACATGAAATTTAAAATTTTTCCATTGTTTCGAAAATACAAGAAGTAACGTGAGTGAAAGCATTGCAATTTGTAAACCATGACGAGGCTTAAAAACAGATTGAGATTTGATAAAACTAATATGAATTTTTTGTTGGACATAGTATATATCAGCCCTCGGATGTAGGCAGTATGGCAACAGTTGAATGTGTTTCCAAAGCATAACAGTACGATCAAAAATATTAGTTATAGGTAGAAAAATAATTCTCACTTAAATCGTTCATGTCTTGCTTTTTAAGATAATAAACAAATATTTAGTTAAATTAAAGTTTTTGTGAAAATATTTATGCTTTAATGTGTGTTGCTTGCTTGCAAAGGATGAATGTACGGAACAATCTGTGTTATTTTACACGCATACACTTTGAAGCAATGGAATGGCTTGAGGGTTGTTAGGATATCTTTTGGTTTGCAGGCTGATACGTTTTGCTTTTTTAGTTTCTTTACCTTAGGGTTCATTTAATTTAAATAAATGTAATAAGAAATGCGGTGTAGAGTAAGAATGTGCATACTAGTATGCATTAAGCGAAAGAGGAATCTTTAATACAAAAGTAAAAAGCATTATATCCAAGCTAAACAACTATCGTACGTATTGTGCGTTTCAGGAAAAAAGCTGTATTTATATATTAACATATATATAACTACATAGGAACAAATATGCTTCCCTATATAATGTTATCTATGAGTCAAATATGAACGTCAGCGTAAAGTGAAACAACTTCTTATAAATCCGAGTGACTTAGCTAGAATTGTTTTGGTTTTTTTTTTATTTATTTTTTATTGAATTTATTTGTTGATCGTATCTTCATAGTTCTAGTAGTTTATAAACTATGTCCCGAACGATACCGACTACGAAGAACGCAAACTAATCATGAAAGAATTCAGTTTTAGATAGTTCTATGAGAATGAAAACGTCGCGCTGACTGACCGTAAGCCATTGAATGAAAAATTGTTAATCAGGCAATGGGAGGAACGAGAGTTGGCCCGCTATAGAGTGCAATATAAAGTAAGTCGGTAATTGTTCCCCATCAACGGTCCCGTTAATTGGGAGGATTTCATAAAGCGCTATGTGTTGCTCGGTGTGGAGTTCAATTTCAACCTGCCAGACTCAAAGGCAGAGATCTCAGCTGGGCTTGGCACTTATTATGTGCCTCCGTCTGGCACTCGAAGACTAATCACCCTCGGCGAGTTACCTGTGCGAATTCCTACTCCGCGAGCACCGTGAATTAAGTCTGCACGGCAGGAATACCCAAACAAACCACTACATAAAAACATCAGTACACTATGTGTGTATGGCTGAACCATCGGTATTCAGCTTCATCACAAATCCTTTGCGTCATGCTTTCATGCATTATCATAACGCCTTCATAGGGTATCTCGTAGCCAGAACTAAAAAAGGCTTTAAGGCGTAAGATTCACTGAAGCGACTTATAAATTAGCGTAAAGTCTAAAGTTTGTACTTTGACGAAGAGAAGTTGCAGCTCTATTCAATATGAGGTTATATCAATTACTTTAAACGCGAAAAATCTCGTCAAATTGTTTTAAGCTTCTAGCACTAATTATCGATGATAGTTTATAAAAGGTAGTTTACGTGATAAAAAACTTCCCTAATGATGGTTTTATATGCATTTAATTATCTACTATTAGCCATTAAAACTACGATGCGATATCATTATGAAATGATTGTTATATTAACTTTAATGATAAGAATAAAAGTTTTATTTACATTCATTCCTATGTAAAAAAATACTAAAGCAAAACCGGCCAAATTAATGAAGCTTTAAAGCAAACTAATGTTGTTTAATAATTTTATCACCTTGGGTATGTCCTTTCTTTCAAGTAGCTTTTGGACATAATATACAGAGTAGGATTATTGAAATATCTTTTAAAATAATAATTACATATATATTTATGAATATAAGATAATTTTCATAAGTTATGTGCAAAGAGATTCATCTATAAAAACATTCCTACTCACCTAATACTATTACTGCGATTCATGCGAGGGCTTTGAACGTATGGTGACTCTGCACCCGCCATGCTTTGACCGCCGGTTGCATTAACCACTGCAGCGGCAGCACGTTGTTGCATAATTTTATGACCATGACGAGACATAGAGGGTGAACCCATTTGCATATTTTCTATGGAGTCTCCGTCAGACAAACGACTGCCTGCTGTATTGCTGTGTTTCAGCCACATGGCATAACTACTGTATTCTGGCTTGACTTCAGCATAGGTTTGAGTATCCGACAATGAACCATCCAACATTTTACCGGGGCGATGATTAGAAATTCTACACAAAACATTTAGATTTGATTTACTAAATAATGATTGAATATTTGCTTATCCGAAGTGCAAAATAAAGCACTTCGAAGTAACTGCAATATCTTAAACGATTAGCATCCTGTTGAAATTTTTTATACAAAAAAAGTGCGCGAAAAGTGGTCCGATTCACAACGTTTTGAAGAGCATGCGTCTTTTGGCCAAAACACGTCAGTGTGCCAAATTTCATCAAAGTATTGCAAATATTGCGGCTTATAAGTTGAACACAAGGAACAAAACGGACAGACGGATAGACAAGCCTAGACCGACACAGAACCACTTTCTGAAACCAGGCAGTAAATGACGGGACCATCTCAAGTCCGCCTGGATGTCGCATACTTCCGCGTAAACATAGTACATACTTGTACCACGAATGACATAGTTAGGCAAGACCGATATCCCTAAATATCTTGCACCACATCACCCCAATGAACTTTTTACGTTTACTTTCGTAATAAAGAAACAATACAATTATATTTTATTCCCATCGAATGGCATACTTTTTCGAGGGCTCTAATATGGGACGGGATGTAAACGACACCAATGAGATTCAAATTTTTCAAAACTGGATTTCAAAAAATAGCCAACAGTCAACTGGGACAGTCAACTTTTATGCCAAGTTATTATTTAGCACCCATTAAGGACAATTTACCGTTAGCGGTATGTGAATGTAAAAATTTACTAATCATGTAATTGACCATAAGCTTATCACTGTGAGTAGATAATTTTTTCTTACTTACATAACAATAAATGTATTCATGCATTTAATATTGCGAAATAATTAACATAGGATTCATTTACATAATTGTTCAGTGTTTGATTGAATAAGCAAACTTTTAATAATGAAGAGTAGCAAAGCATAATTTTGTTAAAGAATTTTTATGAAACATACCTATGCTGGTATACATCGGTGCCTGGTTTTGGTAAGCTGTGTGATCCGGTAGCTAAACGTTCACGTATAGATTGACTTAATTGCGTAGCACCCGGACCAGTCAAAGAATAACTACGATGCTGAGTGTTGGGAGGTATTCCTGGAAATGCAGCGATTGACTTGGTTTTCTATTCAACTTTTGTTTTAAGCTTAATACATACTTGTTATATCACTTGGTAAGGTCTGTGTACCACCCGACATTTTGCGACCATTTCCCCCCGCCGCTGTTCTTGGCACTGCCGATACATGAGCTGTACGTCCATTTTGTGGACCGCCATTGCCGACATTGATCATCATGGCAATTTGTTGTTGTTCAGCGGTAGACGTAGCTGTGCCGTTAGCACGTTTTACGTAGCCGAAACTGGGGGGAACTCCTTTAGTTCGTCCCGAAGGTGATCCCTGTTTCGACGACGCAGTTGTACCGGTTAGGGTGCAACGTGAAGGCGAGGATTTGTCTTTTTGTTCTGATTTGTGGCCTTTTAACGGTTCAGGCATTTTCGACCAGTTGTCGCGAGCATTATTACGTATCGCATTTCCGGAACGAAGTGGACTGTGCTGGTGATGGGAGTGTTGTGGACTATTATTTATACTGTTATTACCGGAGCCGTTACCAATGCCTCCATTACTCATATCCATTTTGGTATTCGAGCCACCGCTTGAACTAGCTTGCGAAGCGGCCGAAGAGGCTACTGCCGTACCAATGCTATCTAAACTACCGCGACTATTCCGTATTCTAAAAATAAATAAAAAAAATAAAAAATTAAAATTTTACGTAATTTATTTATTCATTTTTATTGACAAGCAAATATAAAAGGGAGGAAAGATTCTTTTTATACACTTTTTTAAGCAGGACTTTTTTTCATTTTGTTCGCAAAATGAGAAAATGGTGCTTGTTTTAAAAAACTATTTGAATTATCGAGTTGGCTTTAATTTCCTTGCTTTCACAGTTTAGGGTGATTTTTATCACCCCAAAGTATAGACAGCGACCTTTGACGTCATCATCATACATTTTCCCAATTATCCAGTGTGTTCTAGACACATTTCCTACAAGTTGTAGGAAGTTTTACTCTGTTATTGTAAACAGATGCAACAAGTACTTTTTTTTTATCAGTCACGCACTATCGTCTCAATCATTATCTTTGTTAAGGTCTTTGTGTGCGATATTGTCTGGTTTGTCAGGTTGGGTCAATGTTGCGAGCAAGGCTGCACACGAAGAAGTAAATAAAAGAAAATCATTGAGACGTTAGTACGTGATTGATAATAAACTCTAAAATTGAAAATCGTTCATAATATTAAGCACATTGCAAAGGTTGTAAGATCAAATATTTATATAAATCCTGCAACTGGCGAACTCGTGCTTTATGCACGTAATCAGTAAGTCAAAAGGGAGACCGTACAAACGTCAATATATAAACACATAGGAGCGCATACAATACGACTGAAATCTTCTGGATTCTTATCGAAATCTCTCTTCTCGGCACGCAAATGTCGCTCTGTGTCTTAATTCATTCAAATGGAATTATTGAACGGGATCTTCACCACATCAAAGGGTGAAACAGAAGTCTGCAAGCAATTGAGAACAGCTCTCGAAAAATTATTATATATTACTTTGTCAACTTTCTGGGAACTGTCACATTGGGGTCACACCGTCAATGCAAATGTCATTGACAAAGAAAAAAGGAATTACGAATAAGAAAATATTGGAACAAACTTTCCCGAAGGCAAAATTCTTTTGTTCTGGTCGAAGTCAACAGAACACCACGAAATATTAAGAGAGTAGGACACAATCTATAATTAGATGGAATAATGACTTCAGGGGAGTTTCGAAAAATGCCGAAAGGGATTATGCAAAGTGATTTTACTAGTTTTTCAAACGTCACCCGCACCACTACGTTTCGTAGAAGATGGTAATGTGGAAATGGATGAAATTGCGAAGCTTATATCTTTTGAATCCGAAGCACGAGACGCGGGCCAACAACGCTAGAGAGAGTAGACGGCATACAAGAAAGTATTTCGAACGTAAAACGTTAGAAGAGCAACAATTGTGTAATTTTACGCAACCTAAGCTGCTGTTGTATGCCTTTCCTGTTGAAATGGAAAGGGAAACAACCTCAACCAAACAAATAAGTCATCTACACATTTTAAGTTCATTTTCGATAGATATTCGACAATCAACATGTATTTGCCGACTTTTTGTCGTATACACAAGCGTTATGCGGTTGTAATGAGACTAAAATGATTTTTACCTAAAGCGTCCTACCATCACCGCAAAGAGCACAATCATATTTTACCGAATAATTTTGTAAGATCGGTCTTACGTCATTGCATGTCTTTTGCCACAACGATGTGAAAAAGTTGCAGTTGCAGAGAAACAATAAATCTTCATAGGCCTATGCATGGTGCCTAAAAGTTGAAATTCAACGGCTTATCTCTCCATCTGCAAAAAGAAAAACGTACAAAATTCATAGCCAACATATGTCTCTTGTAACTATAGGCTTATGGACCCACTGCCAACTATTGTTTCAAACGCCGAACAGGAGCTTAACTGGCAGGAATAAATTGCTTCCATATTCCATTCAAATTCTTTTAATCGCTTTAACATGCCGCTACATGCCACAGTTGAGAAAGACAGTTCGAATCGTCACTTATTTGGGTCTTGTTTAGTTAGACAACAGGGCGTCAATTAATGCATAATAGCATTATCCAGAAATTCCACACAATAATGGAAAGAGCAATCAATTGTCATACAACGGTCGTATGAGCTAATGTGTCACCATTTGTACTTTTAGGTTATTGTGCAAGCATCAAAGAAGATCCAGATACAATTCCTGCTAATAAGGGGTACAACGCTATCTTTAGATTGCCGCCGGATCAACATCAGTGATTGGAACGACTATGTACATACACGCGCTCATTACCTCACTTCAAAACCACCCCATTTATTCAAGAGCAGTTGGCAGCAACGAAATGATGTTATCAATCGACCACTACAAGCAGCATACGAAAGCCTGTATCATGTCTTTAAAGGCGACAATAAATATTTCAAGACAAACGTCATAGGCAGAACTGAGATTATCGTTATTTACTAATTGGTGCTCGCTTTCATCGCCATTAAATCAGTCATTCAAAGGAAAATTTCTGATATCCATCTATGACTTGCTGGAAACAATACGTTTCAAGCTTTGCGGGGGGAGTAGTAGGGGGGCGACACTTTGAGCCCTTTCGTCGAATATGAGGACGTAGTGCACAAGGAAATGAACAAAAAGAAAATCATTGAGACGCTTGATACATGATTGATAAAAAAATGCTAAAAATCTTTTATTACATTAAGCGCATTGAATAAATACTGAATTACAACAAGTATAGAATTAAATTTGTAGAATCTAATGCTTTTGTTATATCAAATTTCAGCGCAGAAAAACATAAAACATAAGAAAACATTTGATACCAGAAATCGATTAAACAAAAGCTAACGTGACTGATAATTTTCTTTGCAAAAAATAATTGAACGTATATATCATATATAATTGAGGACATGCTATAAGAGCTTACGACGAACATGTCAAAAGTGTAGAAGATATAAGGTCTTCCAAAATCACGAATTTTCAGATTAAAGATTGAAGGCACATATGAAAGATAGAAACATTTAAAGATGGGAAATCCTTTCGGCTGCATTTCTCTCCTAAACAGGTGCTGTAAAGGAAAAGAGAAACGCGACGATTTGGTCCAGAGTGAGCGCATATTTTACATCTCCAAAATTACATCGCTCACTCTCAGCATTTACGTGCAAGTGAGCTTTTCAAGAGGGAGAGGAAACCACTGTACATCTTTAAAAACCCAATCGTTTTTTTTTTTGGCTTAAAGGCTGCTTTTCATTTTCTAATATATGTGCCGATAAATCAACAGGAAAGAAATTTCTTCCTTAAAATTTCAAGCTTTCTTCTACGCGCTCTTTTATGAACGGAATCCCTGTTGGCAAGTTACGCCACTAGTGTGATAAGAAGTTTAGAATTCCCTTTTTACACGAATTTTTTAAACGAAATTTTATTTAACGCGTGGTAGAAAGAAAAAAAATCTCTTTTTATGGGAATTGTTTTCTTTTAACCCGACTTTCAATATTCTATGAATTTTTCTGATGAATTTTTCATTCTCACTCCTCCAAACTATGCATTGTAATTCTGCGTTATGTTTTTCGTAACTCAGTTCGATTAGGTCGATTAAATGCCCTATATAAGCGAATTATGCATAGAGTATAGATGTAATGTATTTTTCCCGCAATTTTGTTTGATTTTTCAAAGTGTAATTTATTTTTTATAATATATTTAATGAATTAAAATCTGTAAGCACGAAATAAATTCTTAAATGAACTCAAATTGTTCAACATTGTTTAGCGTACGTTCCACTTCCTTTTTTAGGATTGAACCGATGTACTAGTTTTCCTTTTAGTCAATATCTTTTTTTACACGAAATTTTTGAGAACGTGTAAAAAGAGAATTAGTTGTTTATTTATTTTCTCAAAACAAAAAGCATATGCGTACTCTTGATCAGCATCAAACTCTAAACCGATTTAAGCTTTGCATTTGGCAGAAGCGTTGAAAGCTCTTTTACGCAGGTTGGTGCTGAAATTGGGCCAAATCGGTCAAGGAACAAGCCCACAGCACAATATAAATAAACATCTCGGCTTTTCGAGTTTTCTAGCCATGACGTATAAGCTAATAACACGCTGCTTTAGGGTCATCCAGTGACACTTGATTGGTTGGCATAAAACTATAGATTAGCCTTGATAGCACTGAACGTAAAATCGAATTCTGGTAAACTATTTTAAACAATTTTTTTTAAAGCATCAAATTATTTTCTTTTTCGCTCAACCAAAGCGAACGAAAATGTGTTCAGTCTGTAGCTTCTTCTTATTTATTCTTTTCCTATTGATTAACTTTTTTAAAATAAGTTGTTTGTGAGTAGAGTTTCTTTTGTCTTTTTTATTATTGCAGACCGTACGTACATTAATACAGTACGAAGCTAAAGGTAAGAACAGTTGTCTTGCCAAGACCAAGTCTTGTGCTATTTACTAAATGATTTTAGAACCACTGTAATGGAAACTAAATTTTTGCTGTCTTGTCTTTTCTCATTAGATTTCTAATAACTTTACAATGAAAATTCATCAAATTCTCTGGCTGCACTCACAAAGTTGACACATTCGTATAGTTTTTTTGTTTAAAATCTCTTATAATTGACTGACTTTGAGTGAACATAAATGCGTTCATGGAAAGTGTGTTCTACGAATTGAAAGTTGTGATTTCAAATATGTGATGGAAACATGAAAGGATTCACTGAAAAGAATTTAAAAAAAAAAAAAAAATTCTCAATAATGTTGTTGTCATGTGAAGTCCTTTTATTTATAATAGCCATAATAAGTACATAAATTTGCTTAGCAACAACCATTACATATATGGGAAAGTGTATTTTTACAAATAATTTGACATTATGATGAAAAATACTATTTGCATACAGCGTCGTTTATATGATACGCTATGGTTGAGAATATATAGGGGCAAAGAAAAAAAGATTTTAGAATCCCTTAACTTCAGCTATGCTAGTCCTGTCAACCTACAGTATGACGTGTGTGGAAGTTGAAAATTCATAGAAAAGTAAAGAAAAAAAAAAAAAAAAGAAGGCATTGTGAAATTTGCTCATTCAGTAAAGCAATTGCATGTTGATAATGAGTACAAGTTC